GTTAATTTCGTTATCTTCATACTCGATGACTGAAGACAAATGAAATAAACAAGAACTAGAATATAAGGGATTGTGAGTGTATATTTAAATGTTTGGATTACCTAGCAAACACAGTGGTATTAAACAATCAAAGTATAATAGGACCGAGTGGACACAACTGGACTGAAATAATAAAGGATTAACAAATCTTTGAAGTCGAATTTGATTTATATTGACATCGGCACTTAGAATCGTCAGCACTGTATTATAATAGAAATAACACGGGCAATAGAATATTCAGTATGTTACGGCAAAACAAATCCAGCACTGCATTAGACTGGTCTAATATGCATTGTAACGATAAGAATAAAGGCTATCCAGAGTATCACTTAGCCAGTATGTCTTCATTATTTACACATCGTTATGTTATGGTAGAGTACGATCAACAGATAGATAGGCAATTAAACAGATAAATATTAGGATTCACATGTACGGTATTCGAATTAATCACATAACTTAGCACGAGTTAACCAATAGAGTTGAACTAATGCACTTGACAGTCATATACTCAGTCCTATATCATAATTCAGAATGAGTATACAACTATGTGGATTTATTGTGCCTGTATTAAACATTCTAACCACGTAAGCATGTACCAGTAGAGAAGCCGCTACAACCCAAAGCAGCAGTTAACTAGTGTTGATTGAAATCTTTCAAAATCATCTTTTATTACACGTACAACTCTGCCACTTTTGTATACTTTTGAAAATTGAATTCCAAAGTAAATATGATTAACTATTTGATGAATGTTACAAGACTTAGTAACTCCGCCTGGATCAATCAATTGAATGGAATTCATCACTCTACATAAACTTCATTGACTACGAAAAAGCATTTGATAGCGTGGACAGGACAACATTATGGAAGCTTCTTCAACTCTATGGCGTGCCTAAGAAGATAGTAAACATCATACAGAATTCCTATGATGGATTAAACTGCAAAATCGTGTATGGACGACAGCTGACGGACTCGTTCGAAGTAAAAACCGGTGTCAGGCAAGGTTGCTTACTCTCACCCTTTCTCTTTCTCCTGGTGATCGACTGGATCATGAAGACGTCAACATCTGTGGGAAGCATGGGATACAGTGGACAACTAGGATGCAAATGGACGACTCAGACTTCGTAGATGATCTGGCTCTTTTATCGCACAAGCAACAATAAATTCAGAAGACGACCAGTGTAGCAGTAGGTCTCAACACACACAAAGGAAAAAGCAAGACTCTCCAATGCAATACAGCATGCACCAATCAAACCAAACTTGACGGAGACGATTTGGAAGATTTTAAAGCTTTTACATATCTAGGCAGCATCGTTGATGAACACGGTGGATCTGATGCAGATGTGAAGGTGCGGATCGGTAAAGCAAGAGCATGATATTTACAAATGAAGAACATCTGGAACTCAAAACAACTATCAACCAATAACAAAGTCGAAGTTTTAAATACAAATGTCAAGACAGTTATACTGTATGGGGCGGAAACCTGGAGAACTATGAAAGCTGTCATGCAGAAGATACAAGTGTTTATTAACAGCTGTCTAAGCAAAATACTTCGGATCCGTTTGCCAGACACTACCAGAAACAACTTATTGTGGGAGAGGACAAACCAGATCCCGAAGGAGGAAGAAATCAGGAAGAAGCGCTGGAAGTGGATAGCACACACATTGAGGAAAGCACCCAACTGCGTCACAAGACAAGCCCTCACATGGAATCCTCAAGGCCAAAGGAAAAGAGGAAGACCAAAGAACACAGTACATCGAGGAATGGAGACAGACATGGGAAGAATAAACAACAATTGGATAAAACTAGAAAGGAAGGCCCAGGACAGAATGGGTTGGAGAATGCTGGTTGGCAGCCTATACTACATTGGGAGTAACAGGTGTAAGTAGAGTACACGACTTAGTGATAGAACTTATAACTCAATTAACACTGAAAAGATTCTGTAGGTATTAAGCTGGCTTAGATGAAAATTGGATTTATGGGATGTTTATCTACGCTTCTTATCGACGTAGAAAATTCTTTGTTCCATTTGTCTTTTTACTAAATATGTAAATGAGAATTTTCACTACAGTGAAATCTTCCGAGATATTTTTCGACAGGCTTTTATTTTGATGACAAATAGGAATGCAACTGTAAGAATGAAAGTTATTAACATTGTAGAGCAAAATTACCACTCACTATCACTTGATGGGTATGGATTCTGTTTACTCCGGTAAGAAGATATAGCGGCTTTTCATATATAATCGTAATCAAACATATGTTTAAAGGCATTCCTTAACAACTGTTTTACGTATGCATTTATTTCTGAGTAAGTGATGAAACAATGTTATAAGTTGTACTGAACCGATAATCTTAATTATTTGGTATATTTGAATCCGAAGTCATTGTGATTTGCAAGATCTTCGGTTGAGAGATCCCGAGCCAAACTATTGTAATTGCTTTTGGTTACGATAGACCGATATTTATTAATTGTTTATTCAACTTCTTGTTGAAACTTGAGAAACCCGTATAAATTACGTGAATCGAGGGTCTCCAGCTCAACTGATTAAATAAGAAACAGACATCAATTATGAAATGAAATTAAATCATCTTCAGCCAAAAATTAGTCAAATATGAATGACGACAACTCCGCCTGGAGTCCCTCCGGGGGCTACTGCCGGTCCTAAGCCCGGATAAAGGAGGAGGGTTGGGCATGGTATTAGCGACCCCATCCCGTAGAAAACTAACTCGCTAAAAAAACGCTAACCAGAAAAAATTATTCAAACCTTTTAAACTCTGCCCTGGGAGTCAGAAGGTCTTCATTTAGAAGAATTATGACGCCTCATGATGAAAGCCGAATCCCTTCGGAAGTTACGAGGCCGATGCCCCTTCTGACAACCAGAGCGACCATTTATTTAGGTACATGGAATGTTCGTACAATATGGGACACCGGAAGAGCCTTCCAGATTGCTGCAGAAATGAGAAGATACAACCTAGAGGTACTTGGGATCAGTGAAACACATTGGACACAAGTTGGACAACAACGACTAACTACAGGAGAGCTCCTGTTATACTCCGGCCATAAAGAAGAAGATGCACCACATACACAAGGAGTTGCATTGATGCTGTCCAAACAAGCACAAAATGCACTTATAGGATGGGAATCTCATGGACCAAGGATCATCAAAGCCTCGTTCAAAACAAAGAAACAGGGTATTTCAATGAACATCATCCAATGCTATGCGCCTACCAACGACTACAATGAAGACGCTAAAGATCAATTCTACAATAGGCTGCAGTCAATAGTCGAGAAGTGCCCAATAAAGGACCTGACCATTCTGATGGGAGATTTCAACGCCAAGGTTGGAACGGACAACACTGGATATGAAGACATCATGGGACGACACGGACTGGGAGAAAGAACGAAAATGGTGAGAGATTTGCAAACCTATGTGCCTTCAATAAACTGGTCATAGGCGGCACCATATTCCCATATAAACGCATACACAAAATCACATGGACTTCACCGGATCACTCTACACAAAACCAAATCGACCATATTTGCATCAACAAAACGTTCAGGAGGACTATAGAGGACGTGAGAACCAAGAGAGGAGCTGATATAGCATCAGATCATCAATTGCTGATCGCGAAGATGAAATTGAAACTCAAGAAGCACTGGACAACGGGGCGGACAATATCACAAAAGTTCAATACGGCCTTTCTCCAGGATACTAACAAACTCAACAAATTCAAGATAGCCATCAGCAATAAGTTCCAGGCCTTTCATGATCTACTCAATGGAGAAGGAACTACTGTGGAGAGCAACTGGAAGGGGATCAAAGAGGCAATCACTCCAACATGTCATGAGGTCCTGGGTCACAAGAAGCACCATCACAAAGAATGGATCACTGTTGATACGCTGGATAAGATTCAAGAAAGAAGGAACAAGAAGGCAGCAATCAATACCAGCCGAACAAGAGCAGAAAAAGCCAAGGCACAAGATGAATACACGGAAATAAACAAACAAGTGAAGAGGAGCATCAGAACCGACAAACGTAAATATGTGGAAGATTTAGCAACGACGGCGGAAAAGGCTTCAAGAGAAGGAAACATGAGACAATTGTATGACACGACAAAGAAACTCTCTGGAAATCGCCGCAAACCGGAGCGACCAGTGAAAAGCAAGGAAGGCGAGGTAATCACCAACATTGAAGAACAACGAAACAGGTGGGTAGAGCACTTCAAAGAACTCTTGAATCGACCAGCCTCACTGAACCCACCCAACATCGAAGCAGCACCCACGGACCTCCCAATCAATGTTGGCCCACCAACAATTGAAGAAATCAGCATGGTTATCAGACAAATCAAGAGTGGCAAAGCAGCAGGACCGGACAACATCCCAGCAGAGGCATTAAAAGCAGATGTAGCGGCAACTGCACGGATACTCCACATTCTCTTCAATAAGATTTGGGATGAGGAACAAGTACCAACAGACTGGAAAGAAGGACTTCTGATCAAAATACCGAAGAAAGGCGATCTCAGCAAGTGTGATAACTACAGGGGCATCACTCTTCTCTCAATACCGGGAAAAGTCTTCAACAAGGTATTGTTAAACAGGATGAAGGACTACGTAGACGCCCAACTTCGTGACCAACAGGCAGGATTCCGTAAGGATAGATCGTGTACAGACCAAATCGCAACTCTACGGATCATTGTGGAACAATCAATTGAATGGAATTCATCACTCTACATCAACTTCATTGACTACGAAAAGGCATTTGATAGCGTGGAGAGAACAACACTTTGGAAACATCTACGGCGTGCCTCAGAAGATAGTCACTATCATACAGAATTCCTATGATGGATTACACTGTAAAATCGTGCATGGAGGACAGTTGACAAAGTCGTTCGAAGTGAAGACCAGTGTTAGGCAAGGTTGCCTACTCTCACCCTTTCTCTTTCTCCTGGTGATCGACTGGATCATGAAGACGTCAACGTCTGAAGGGAAGCGCGGGATACAATGGAAATCTAAGATGCAGTTGGATGATCTAGACTTCGCAGATGATCTGGCCCTTCTACCCCAAACGCAACAACAGATGCAGGAGAAGACGAACAGTGTGGCAGCAGCCTCAGCAGCAGTAGGTCTCAATATACACAAAAGGAAAAGCAGGATTCTCCGATACAACACAGAATGCACCAATCCAATCACAATTGACGGAGAAGATTTGGAAGATGTAAAAACCTTTACATATTTGGGGAGCATCATTGATGAACAGGGTGGATCTGATGCAGATGTGAAGGCGCGGATCGGCAAAGCAAGAGCAGCATATTTACAACTGAGGAACATCTGGAACTCAAAGCAACTGTCAACCAACACCAAGGTCAGGATTTTCAATACAAATGTCAAGACAGTTTTACTGTATGGGGCAGAAACCTGGAGAACTACGAAAGCCATCATCCAGAAGATACAGGTGTTTATTAACAGCTGTCTACGCAAAATACTTCAGATCCATTGGCCGGACACTATTAGCAACAACGTACTGTGGGAGAGAACAAACCAGATCCCAGTGGAGGAAGAAATCAGGAAGAAGCGCTGGAAGTGGATAGCACACACATTGAGGAAAGCACCCAACTGCGTCACAAGACAAGCCCTCACATGGAATCCTGAAGGTCAAAGGAAAAGAGGAAGACCAAAGAACACATTACGCCGAGAAATGGAGATAGACATGAGAAAAATGAACAAGAATTGTATGGAACTAGAAAAGAAGGCCCAGGACAGAGTGGGTTGGAGAATGGTGGTCGGCGGCCTATGCTCCATTGGGAGCAACAGGCGTAAGTAAGTAAGTAATGAATGAATGACGACGATACTTCTGAATGTTAACATATTTTTGTACGGTATTCAGTAATAAAGGTTTCTTTCAAAGTATAGATTAATTGCGGGAATTCTGTCCTGTGGCGACAGACCCTTAATACTTTTCCTATGTAGTTAGAGCCTCGCTGAAATGCTTATAATCCAAAGCACTGATAAGATACACGGCTAAATGTCTTACCCACTAGTTGAGAGATCTAAGAGAGAAAGTATTATTGCCACTTATAGATAACTTATTCATGGATAAGTGTTGTGAAGAAACAATTCCGGTCTTCATTTTGTCTGTAATTATATACAAAAGTACCAGTGATATTAAAATGGTTTTAATATGCAGATTGCTTAACAAGTTCTATATAACTGGGAAGATGCCTTATGAATACAAATACTTGAAAGTGAAGTATGAATAAAATGTTATGAAGGCAGTGAAAAACGCATTCATTACTATAAATGTAGGAAGGAAAAGCGGTAACTGTAGCACAAATCTGAAAAAAACGCATCAATATTAAAATAAATAATAATTAGAACATTAAATGGTCATCACCTACTTACGCCTGTTACTCCTAGTGAAGGAGCATAGGCTGCTCACCAGCATTCACCATCCAACCCCGTCCTGGGCAATCCTTACCAGCTTCTTCCAGTTGTTATTCATCTTTTTCACATCTGCTTCTATTTCCCGACGTAATGTGTTCTTGGCCTTCCTCTTTTCCGCTTCCCTTTAAGATTCCAAGTTAGGGCTTGCCTCGTGATGCAGTTTGACGATTTGCGTAGTGTATGTCCTATCCATTTCCATCGTCTTTTCCTAATTTCTTCATCATCTGGAAGCTGGTTTGTTCTCTCCCAGAGAAGGCTGTTGCTGATGTTGAGTATCCTGCGTAGACAGCTATTTATAAATACTTGTATCTTCTTGATGATGGTTGTTGTAGTTCTCCAAGTTTCAGCTCCGTACAGTAGAACTGACTGCCTTGACGTTTGTATTGATGATTCTGACTTTGATATTGGTTGAGAGTTGTTTTGAGTCCCATATGTTCTTCAATTGTAGGAATGCGGCCCTTTCTGTGGCAATCCTTGCCTTTACGTCTGCATCTGAACCTCCTTGTTCATCGGTGATGCTTCCCAGGTATGTGAAGGGTTCTACATCTTCCAGAGTTTTGCCATCAAGAGTGATTGGATTGTTGTTCTCCGTGTTGAATTTGAGGACCTTGGTTTTCTCCTTGTGTATGTGTATGTTGAGGCCTACTGATGTAGGGACTGCTGCTACACTGGCTGTCTTTATCTGCATTTGTTCATGTGTATGCGATAGGAGGGCTAGGTCATCTGCGAAGTCCAAATCATCTAACTGATTCTGAGCTGTTCATTGTATTCCGTGTCTTCCCTCAGATGTCGAGGTCCAATGGACCACCGGAAGAAAGAGGAAGGGAGAGAGTAGACAGCCTTGTCTGACTCCGGTCCATACTTGGAATGCATCTGTCAGCTGTCCTCCATGCACGACCTTGCACTGTAGTCCGTCATATGAGTTCCGGATGATGTTGACAATCTTCTCAGGAACTCCGCAGTATCGAAGAAGTTTCCATAACGCTCTCCTATCTACACTGTCAGATGCCTTTTCATAATCAATGAAGTTGATGTATAGTGACGAGTTCCACTCAATTGATTGTTCGACGATGATCCGTAGTTTCGCAATTTGGTCTGTGCACGATCGATCCTCACGGAATCCAGCTTGTTGATCTCGAAGTTGGGCGTCTACTACGTCTTTCACCCGGTTCAGCAAGACTCTGTTAAAGACTTTCCCTAGTACTCACAGTAGTGTGATGCCTCTGTAGTTTTCACATTTGCTCAGGTCTCCTTTCTTTGGAATCTTGATGAGGTATCCTTCTTTCCAGTCCATCGGCACTTGTTCCTCCTCCCAAATCTTTTTGAATAGAAGGTGGAGTATGTTTGTAGTTACGTCGATGTCTGACTTCAGTGCTTCGGCTGGTATGCTGTCAGGTCTTGCTGCTTTCCCGCTCTTGATTTGTCTGATGGCCGTTCTGATTTCTTCCGTCGGTGGTGGATCGACATCTATAAGAAGATCTGTGTGTGGTGCTTCGATGTCCGGTGGATTCATTGGAGCCGGCCTATTCAGGAGTTCCTCGAAGTATTCTACCCATCTGTTCCGCTGTTGATAAATTTCAGTGATCGGCCTGCCTTCCTCGTCTTTGACCGGTCTCTCTGGTTTACTATATTTTCCTGCTAGTTTCTTCGTTGTATCGTAAAGCTGTTTCATATTTCCTTCTCTTGCAGCTTTTTCCGCCGTCGTTGCTAGTTCTTCCACGTACTTCCTATTGTCGGCTCTAATGCTCTTCTTCACTTGCTTGTTTGCTTCTATGTATTCAGCTTGTGCTTGGACTTTCTCTGGTCGTGTTCGGCTGTTGTTAATTGCTGTCTTCCTGTTCTTCCTTTCTTTGATCATGTCCAGTGTTTCTATAGAGATCCACTCCTTATGATGGTGCTTCTTTAGACCCAGAACCTTTTGACACGTTGAAGTTAATCCTTCTTTGATACCTTTCCAGTTGTCCTCCATAGTAGTTTCTTCTTCCTTCAGTAGATCCTGTAAGGCTTGGAACCTGTTGTTGAGAGCCATCTTGAATTCATTGAGTTTGTCAGTATCTCGAAGGAAGGCTGTATTGAACCTTTGTAGTGCTGTTTGTCCAGTTTTTCTTTAGCTTCAGTTTCAAATTGGCCACAACTAGATGGTGATCTGAAGCTATATCAGCTCCCCTCCTAGTTCTCACATCTTCCATTGTTCTTCGGAATTTTTTATTGATGCAGATATGATCTATCTGGTTCTCTGTAGTGTGGTCCGGTGAGATCTATGTAGCTTTGTGTATACGTTTGTGTGGAAATATTGTGCCTCCTATGACCAATTTGTTGAATGCACACAGATTTGCAAATCTTTCTCCATTTTCGTTTCTCTCACCCAGTCCATGTCGTCCCATGATATCTTCATATCCGGTGTTGTTTATTCCGACTTTGGCATTTAGATCTCCCATCAGAATGATGAGGTCCTTTCTTGGGCACTTCTCTATGATTGACTGCAGCCGCTCGTAGAATTGACCTTTAATGTCGTCGTTGCTATCATTGGTGGGTGCATAACATTGAATAATATTCATTGTGATCCCCTCCTTCTTTGTTTTGAATGATGCTTTGATGATTCTGGATCCGTGAGATTCCCATCCTACAAGTGCATTTCGTGCTACCTTGGACAGCATTAGAGCAACTCCCTGAGTGTGTGGAGCATTTTCCTTTTCGTGACCGGAGTATAACAGCATCTCCCCCGTATTTAGCCTTTGTTGTCCAGCTTGGGTCCAATGAGTTTCGTTGATTCCCAGTACTGCCAAGTTGTATCTCCCCATTTCCGTTGCTATTTGACTGGTCTTCCCGGTCTCCCACATTGTTCGGACGTTCCATGTACCTATAAAAATTGTTGCTCTGGTTGTTAGAACGGGCATCGGCCTCGTGGCTTTCGAAGGAACTCGGCTTTCACCATGAAGCGTCATAACTCTTCTAAATGAAGACCTTCTAACTTTCAGGGCAGAGTTTAAATGGTTTGAATAATTTTTTTGGTAAGCGTTTTTTAGCGAGTTAGTTTTCTACGGGATGGGGTCGCTAATACCATGCCCAACCCTCCTCCTTTACCCGAGCATGGCATCGGCAGTAACTCTAGAAGAGCTACAGGCGGAGTTAACTGGTGATCAGCTTCCTACAAAAGCAAACAGATATCCCAAACGAAACACTGATTTCATTTGTATATTATATCGTGATAATATTATTCCTGTAGCTCAACAGTTTGTCATTGCAATTTACAAACTTTATATGAATACTGTATTTTAATCCTTGAGTATGAAATAAAATTCTGAAGCATAGTGATTACTGAAATACCGGGCCAATCAGACACCATTCAAGTGGCAAGTGTAAATTATTAATCGGGGCAAGCTAATGTTCATAATTCGGCCCTATTTTAATAAATGAGTGTACGCTGTTAGTTGGAAATGTAGTTTCATTTTCTGAAGGACACATCTATGTTTATGAGTCGCGAATGTATACACGGTTCAGTCGGACCATGAAAACTTTCAAATCACACTGTTTCATCACTTAACAATCTATTTTGAGCACGGATACGGAGGCTTACATATAAGTATTACACTCGGACCGCCACGCAACGTAAAACTTACATTTTTAAACGGCTACTTTAAAACTGGAAAACTTACTATTAAAAAAGCACTATACGATAATGTAGGGAAAAAATAAAACTTGTTCAGACCAGTTTCTGATTGGTCGCACATAATATTCTTGCACTGTTCCTTTGTACTATTTATTCTTGGATTAATTTTGATTTGCATATTTATTCTCTGAAGAAGTGGCTTGTATTGAGTCACGAAACGTCAGAAAATCCAAACTTTCTACTCATTGAGATATTATAAATATATTAATTTTATTCATAACAATCTACCCAATGTTCAATTTATTCAAAATTATCAGACCAAACCTTAGCAATGATACCTAAAATCTATAAATAGTTTGTATTGTAGTGGATTAGCTTCTAGTTAATTTCTTAGGCTACGTATATCAATCACCCTGAAAAACGTTATTAAATAAATCCCAGCGGTGTATGGATTCAGAAGGCAGCACGAAGCGCCGACTAGTTTATTACTGAATAACACATATCACTAATGCGCAAGCACACCAAGCGAGATCGAGCAGAAAAGAGTTCAATAAACAGTCAAGTTAATTAATAAGATTCAAGCACAAATATATTTGGGAGAGCTAACGACTCATCGAGCGATTAAAGTAACTAACATTTAAGCTAGACAGAGGGATACATGAGTAAGTTGTCACATGTGATCAAACACACATGTTCATACAGACATAATAATTATTATTACCGTTACTATAATTATGCAAAGACACAGACAAATTGTTACTGTTTGAATA